ATTCACTGCTGAAATACTAAACAACCTGCTTCCATGGCCGAGATACAGGGCGCCCATATTATAAGGTAAGGTTATAAAACCACCATTTAAGATCATTTTAGTGAAAGTTTCATGTTCCTATCTCATAGAATTTAAGAACAATGATGAATAAATAATTTTCGAGCAAAATTTAAATGGCCGGCTGAATATATTACCGCAGGAGCCGCGGCCGCGGAATTTAAATGACCACGTCAAAGGGTTAATTTTACAGTACAGAGAAAGCTTACCCTGACATACAAACCACAAGAATTACTTGACTTTCTTGCTGTGCACCCACCGTGATAGAACACAGTATTTACCAGTTTCATCCATACGAGCACTTTCTGACTGCTGTGACTCCAGACACCACAAGCCAAAACATGATTCAGAATGTTACAAACCACCAACAAGAGCAAACACGTGAAACAGAACTCTGAAGTGCATCTTCCACAGAGTCCCGTTTTGAAGAGAGAGTGAGGCTACAGACCAGGATAAAGGGGGACTGGGAGGACCAGGGCTGGTAAACAGGCATCATGTGCCTCAGATGCCACTCCAGATCCAAGGAAAAGGAGATGAGGAAGGAAGGTGAGATAATAAGACCAGAAGAGCTGGACTAGTTCTGTGAATGGCTCGGTCCCTCAGTGACAATCATCTTTCTCTTGTGCACTAGTCCTCACTCTGCAGGTGGAACACAGCTTCAGGAATACAGAAAGTATACAAAAATTGAGGAATGAGTCACAGAATTCATGATGCAGTACCAGAATTGGATAAGAAAAGAAGAGACCATTGGAAAGACCAAGAATAAGGAAGAAAATGAGGTTTTAGATTTGAAATGTGGAACAGGAAGACAGCAATGGAAATTTTTGAGCAACAGTTCATCCAGAACATTATGTTGCAATGAGAGAAGATCCTTTTGTCACATAAACATTCATCAGGACATGGCAAGCAGGTTATCTTTGAGCTTATCACAAATGTCCATGTACGCCATGAACTGGAATTGTGACAATGTCTGATGCCTGTACTTACAGAGGCATTATGCAAATCTGTTATATATTCAACCCACAAGCATCATGACAATGTCACTGGTATTATATTTACTTTTAACACTACCGGCAGTTGTAAAATTTAGTATACATTTATTGAATTTTATGAATGTTATAACTTGCTGTTCTGGCACAACTCTTTCATGTTCAGAAGTATTTCTGATCCTTCTCCCACAACTCCTCTAGGATAACATAGATGTCAGATGACTGGAAACGGTCTATCCAGGACTGAATGAGCCCCTCGTGTGTGGCATCATACATCTTGAGACTGACCTCACTCCCTGCAACATTGAACGATAATAAATCTATGACAGGTGGCATGTGGAAGATGATACCTTCACAGCAGCACAAGGAATATGTTAATGGAAATCTGTACAAATATGGCCAAGAATGACAGTGGTCAGAAGGAAACTTACTCAATAAATGTCATGTATAACATGTTTTGTAACATTTATTTATTTTTTCATTTGTTTGTTTGCAGTGAGAAATTAATTTCTCTCTTCAGACATTTAGCATACTGCAGGGCCATCTTGCACTCACAGTCACCTTCTATTCAGTCAACTACAGCGTACACTTTATTGCAGTGTGGACAAGTTCTGAGACTGATTTAATATCTTGGCTTGGGTAAATGGTGTCAATTCTAGGAAAAGGTGTTCTAAATACAGGACATTTTACGGCTCGCCTGTGTCACTGACATTAGTTCGCTCGACCTCCGCTAGGTGGCAGGGTGCAACAGAAAACCCATGTTAATTGTCAGTTGTGGATTTGTGCTGTAAGAAGAATGAAAGTTCAGTTTGAACAGGGAGTTAACATCAAATTTTGTGTGAAGCTGGGCAAGACAGCGACAGACATTGCAGCTTCTGTGTGATGTCTACAGCGATGAAGCTTTATCTCATGCATAAGTGTCTCCCGATTTTTGTCAGGCAGGGTGTTGTTGGAGGATGGCACAAGATCAGGCCAATCTTCAAGTTCCCTGAATGAAGACAATATGGTATACATTAGAGACATGGTACAGGAAGACCATTAAAGCGCGGATGTTAGCTGATGCCCTGAATATCATCGACCTGCCACCAAATTCTTGGGTAAATGAAAAGTCAATGCCAGGCTAGTCTCACGCACGCGCACGCACACACACACACACACACACTCACTCAGGAACAAAAGGAGGGGGCGAGCTTCAGTTTGTGCTGATTTATTACATGAGGCACAGAACAATTCCATGTTCGTCAACAGTAAAAATGCCGAGGATGAATCATGGTGTTTCAAGTAGACCCTCATACGAAGAGGCAAAGCACCGAATGACGGTCAACGGGTTCTCCAGCGTCAAAGAACGTGAGGTGGCAGCCATCAAAAACAAAGACGATAATCTCCAGGGATATTGTTCATCATGAATTTGTTCTGCAAGGGCAAACTGTCAACCAAGAATTTTACATCTCCATACTCAGGCGTATGACCAAGGCACTTCAACATAATCATCCTGACTTATGGACATCTGGACTTTCTTGCATGACAATGTGAGACCACACACAGCTCTAAGTGTCAACATATTTCTCGCTAAACACAGTGTTACTGTGCTTCAACATTCCCCGTACTCCCCTGACCTCTCTTCATGCGATTTTCTTCTCTTTCCATGACCGAAAAAACGCTAAAAGGATGGTGACATAAGAATATAGAAGCTATTCAAGCGACTGAGACAACAGAGCTCACAGCCATTCCTAAAAAGGCATTCACCAGCTGCTTCCGGGACTTGCCAAAACACTGGCGATGGTGTATTGACTGTGGAGGGGACTACTTTGAAGGGGACAAGAACCATTAGTTAATAAGTTGAATTTTGTATTGTTTACAGACTCAGTCTCAAAACTTTATGGACAAATTATAAGAGTGAAAAAAATTGGTCTACAGGAGAAAATTCATGTTCTCATCTTGACTGAAAAAATTTCCCAATTTTTGCCTTGAACTGAAAGTCATTCTTGCACATGCCTGTTATATACCTCTCAGTTGCTATACCCTATCATAGTTCACAGAGTCACCCGATGTTTACCTCTTATTTCAATGAACACTACACCAAAAACTTCCAAATACGTAAACGCTGTATGCCTTAATGGGATATATAGTTTATGACACATATACAATTTCCCAACAACTTTTAGTGTTGATATCTGATACCAAATTTCATCAAAATCTGTCTATCAATTTCTGGGACAGAATACATCTAAGCTGTAAAATTTGTGGCAGATCAGTGGGTCCATGGATACAAGCAAGTTCTGCTGTTTCTCACTTTAGCTTCTCGTCTTGCTAAGTTCCAGTCACACAAGCAAGAAGCGAACACACTACTGTTACAGCTAATGCCTCTTCCCAATTCAAAGGCAGCAACATCTATGAGGGGAGCTCTGAACTGACATTCATCATACAATATTTTACTTTCATCAGGGGAGGAAAAAGAAATCTGTGTTTTAGAATCAGCAATGGGACATTACTGCTCTCAAACCACAGACTCCAGGTCACTAGACCCCCACAAACATTAAGTGCTACTGAGCATTTCACCTATCCTTACAGCATTCACACTCATTTACCTCCATTCCAGTTTAGTCTGGTGACAGACAGGCATGCTGTCATTCACTGACCTACAGAAATCAAATTCATCCTTCCATAGACTGCTACCTCAATCCCAGACATGTATACAAAAATAAGTCATAAATCCTTGCATTTATGTAAGAGAAAAATCTGACTCTGGAAGCCACTAGACTTCAGTTCAACTAACATCAAAGAGGCATTTAAGTCAGTGCATACAATCTCGTGTAATGGAATCGTTCAATTAAGACTAATCTTTCTGGAGCAAGATGGAGCCCACAAGTACAAAGAAAACCTTCCACACCTTCACTGAGAATAGTGTTGCCTTGCACGAACATCTTGCGTGGCTGTTTGTGTGCCATCACAATGTCTCTCCACTTGCCCCATGGGTGTGGACCATCATCAGGCACCTCCGAGTACTTGTCATACATAGTCTGTGCAGCTGCAACATCTCCGGTCGACTTATATACCTTTATCAACACACACAGCACATCAACCCACAATCCAGACACAAAATAAGGTTAATTTGTAACCTGTACATCATATTTAATCTTATGAGCCAATGGAGGGGAAATAGTGGTGAGAGTTGAGGGTGACTGTAAGTACTACCTGATGATGGCCAAAAATAGTGGCCAATACATGCTGTAAACTGTATAGTTATCCTTGACTTACACAAATATTGTGACACCGAAAAAAATATTTTACACACAATATGACTTCTCACTAGATATCAGCCACTTGGCAGGATAATTCAACACCATTAAATACACAATAAATTGGAAAGCTACTTCAATAAGAATCATTAATGTCACCTGTAATTTAAGTAGGAAGTCACTGATGGCGCTCCTGCCTACAGAAGCAATCTTGTTTCTGTCCACCTTCAACAGCAGGTCCTTTCCCTCCACAGTTTCAGTGACAGTCACAAAGTCACCTCCTGCGTCTAAAAGTACACGCAGGATGACATACCTTGCTTGCGCATGTGCCTGCCACAACCAAACAGCAGTGTTAAACAGTACTGTAAATAAGTGTTAAAACTCCAACACTCTACTACAGCACAATGTGTCCACACTTTGGCGCACAAAAGCATATAAAAATGATAGGATATGGGCAGGCTTAGGGGGCGCATGGTAGTGTAATTGGTTGAGGCACTACGCTACAAGCCGGAAGGTCGCAGGTTCAAGTCCTGATGAGGTCATTGGATTTTTTTCAATTGACCTAATTCTTCCAGGCACACTATGGCCCTGGGGTCAACTCAGCCTCTAACAGAAATGAGTACCAGGAATATTCTTGGGGGTAAAGGGCGACCAGCACGTAAGGCTGACAACCTTGTCACCAACTATGAGCCGACTGACTAGAAAATGTGGGAACCTCAACATCTCACAATCCTATGGACCTCCACGGCCTGTTACATGGATAGCTTTACTTTACTTTATGGGCAGGCTTACGTCAGTAGGTCAGCATTTTGTTAACAGAGTGTATTTATGGGGTTTGTTTGATTCCAGAATAAACAATAACTGTTTCTCTGAACACCATGAAGCAACTGATTAAGGTAAAAGTGAAGGTGTCCCTGTGGTCAGCAAAGCATCACATCACAAAGACGTGCTGGAGGTGAGATATATACTGACACATTATTAACCTCAGTACTTGATGGAACCGAGTGATTAGCTTCATACTGTGGCTGCTGTATCCCCAGGACAGGAAGACAGGTGGGTTTCAGAGCCATCTGGGGGATGCAGAGAAGAGAAATCTCTCTGCCCCTGATTGAAACTAAACCTACTCCCCAGTCATCCAGCCCAGTCACTGCACAGACTGAAGTCCCCAGTTCCTAAGTGACTGACAAGGCGGGGGGGGGGGGACNTGAAGCCAAACCTTGGTGGAAGGCTGGTACATCTCCAAGGCTTTGCCAACTGCCTGGTACAGCAGGGCCAGCCAGTTCACATATGTGACATCCTCAGCCTCTTGCCCCTCAAGCCCAAAAATGCTGGAACAGAATATGTGCAGAGCAATAGTTCATCATGACTTATACGACATTACATATAGAACTGTAAGCCTGTTTCTGTATATGGTGCAGAAGCTTGGGCAGGCAGTACAGCCAGAATGTTATAAAGTCACATATGAGAAACAAAGACATGAAACATAATGTAAAGGTAAAAGTACCACTAGAAAACTGTGCCAGATTAAGGACAGCATACACCCATATGAATGGATACACCTGGGACCTGAGTTTCAAAAACGAAGATTCTGAGAAAATGACCAAGGTAATATACAACAGCATTCCCCACCTCAAGACATCCTTGTTCAAGCTGAGGAAGAGTCCCACACATTCAGCTCGACACTCCTCATATGATGAGCTTATTGTTGTGAACTTGGAGTCATAACTGTCACCATCTTCATACCACAATTTGATCTATAAAGATACACACAAATAATGAAGCTGTCTACCATTGATATGCTTCATCTGGGATCAACATTCCTCCTTTACTGTCATCTCTCCACTACCAACAACATTCTCATGCAATCTGTACCTAATTTTACATATGTCAGACATAACTGAACCAGATCACTCACTGGTTCGCCATCCAAGGGGTTGGTGAGCTTCGCTGGATCAAAGTTGAAATGTCCATCCTTGTGTTTGCGCAATAGCTTCCCACTGCCGTGGCCCAGCAATTCATGCAGGCCAACTTGCAATTCTAATGCCTGCACCCTGTATTTTGTCAGCAAGTCCTTATCCTCCTCTGAAAGGAAGGACATCACACTCTGCTTGTACTGGGCTGGGATCACATTCCCCAGTGACACATTTTTGAAGCCCTCATTTTGACGAATTTCATCATCTGTACAGAAGGTATTAATTGGTAAATAAGTAAGAGTGCAAAATGATCAAGCATGTGACCCAACTAAACAAGCAACAAAACTGGAATGGGTCTTAAAAAACAGCCGTAATCTTAATAAAGTACTCCATGGCAGCAGATTATTTTCTTGTAAGCATGGAGCTTAACCTGTGCCTGTCACTCTCTACGTCCACGCCTGCACCTCTGCACAAAGAGTATGTCAATACCTGAAACTCTGTGCAACAACAAAAAGCTGTTCTGAAGCAGCTACAACTCTTGTTGGGAATGGTCTCTGTACCCTAATTCCTTCCATATCACCTATCCAGTTGTTTGTGAACTATGGGAAATATGTAGACCATGGTCTCCTGGAATGTGATATCCCATAAACAGTATTTCTTTTTGTGTCAAAACATATAACTGATCTCAATTGTCTGTCACTATGGTCAAAATAGCTGTCAACTTTACATCGTGAGAAACTGACCTCTATTCTGTTTCACGACTGTAATTTGTGGAAGTGCAGACCTAACATGACACCATGGGCTTCCTCTCAAGCATTCCCCTTCAAATGAAATTTTAGATTTCATGGGACCTCATGGGGTGACCTTTCCTTCTTAACTATTTATCAACTTGCATCTACAAGGAAATGTTGGTAACATCCCACAATCACAACATTACTTCGGAGAGAACAACTTAAACTAGGGTGAGAAACCTAGAGAATATCAAAATGGGGTGTGATCATAATCCCCACCGATGCTGTCTCCGCCTTATAGTGGTGGTGGGGTTTGAGTGCTCCTGAGACCCTGAGAGATTTGCCGGCGGGAGTTTAGCTACTGGTAGGGTCACCCATGCCAGATAGGTCAAGGGGTAGGAGCCAGATGAAGAGGGATATCCTGGTCCTCCAGGTTTGGGGTTGGGCACAAGGCTAACAGCCTCACATCATAAAAACTAAATTGTTCACAAACCAGATAATCAGCCTTGAATGGATGGATTATAGAGAAGAATGGAGGCAGACTGTTCAAGAAGCCAAACTTCACCCTGAGCTGTAGGGCCAAGGGGAAGAAATAAAGGTGTCTTAATAATTAACTAAGTTTAATTCCATGTGTTCGCAACACTTACAGCATGATATGCCCAAATTACTCATGCACCTCATTTTATAAACATGCATTCAGTCACAGCATGCAGGACATGTGTGATGTATGTCAGGTTTCTGCAGACTCACAGTTTGGGATGTTGATCCCTGCAGGAATGTCACTACCAGCGTACGTCAGGACATCAAGCGAGGTGAAGTCCGGGAGTAGGAACTTGTCTATCTCAAAGCCTCTGGGCCAAGGGAGCTCTGGTAGTAATGCCTCAGCCTGATCTACCAACTTAGCAAACTTCGCAGACATCTCCTTGTTCACCACGGCCACAAAACCCTCAAACTCACCACGCATGCCTGCTGGGTCTCGGTATGTCTCAATGAAGCCAATGTATCTACAGACATATCAACTACAATTTTACTGCGTACTAAGCCCTAAGAGCTGAATGTTCAGTTCAGTGCTTGGCAAGTACACGTCTAGTTGCTGTTAACATCACACAACAACTTCCATAACTTGATTCCTCTCCTTTCAAGAAACAAGAATAAAAACAGTTTCCAGTAAATTTGCGTGTGTTCAATTTCAATCTGAGCTTGAAAGTTTCATATCATCCATCATATATATGATATAGGTTGGTTATGATGTGTAAGATTCTCAACCAGTGCCCAACACAATAATCTATTGACAAATGAACTAACTCCAGAAATCACCAGCTGCTCAGCTACTCATGAATTACCCAAAATTTTATGGAACCTGCAGGTTCTTTACCGTGTTCACAAAAGTCCACCACAGGTCCCTATCCTACGAGCAATCAATCCAGTCCACACCAACCTGTCCTATTTTCTAATATCCCCTTTTAGCCTATTTTCCATATTCTGCAAAAATAAATGGAGTCTTATGAGATCACCCTGCTGTATGTATGCCCAAGAAAAATGCCAGCCAAAATTACAGTTATGATTATTTTAATTTTTACACACTGAGGCAGCATATGAGAAGATAAAAGCTTCTGAACTAAATGGCAGCAGGCATTACCAGAATTTAATCCTCGTGAATAAAATTTTGATTTGATACCACCTTTCCCCAGTATTTGAACTTTGCCACATTTTCAAAAGGATCTATTATCTGCCTTTATGTTATGATTTTCCCAACATTCTGTTGACAAGACATCAACATCTACTCAGCTTTCTTTGCGTTTACCAACCTCCTTCCTAGTTATCACTAGAGCTTCTGTATTTTTATTTATGGTGTTTATGTTATCATCTGATACATTTATATTACCAGCCAAGACCAGAAGCTGATGTGTCCCATTTAATTTCATTTAAATCTGGTTTTACTGGACCTTCCTAATGGCATATTCTGAAGCAAATTTAAAAAGTAGTGGAGATAGTGCATCTCCTTGCTTTAGACCACTTTGAACAGAAAAAAAAATCAAATGTTTACCTAAATGGACTTTACTATATGCTACATCTAAACACATTTTAATCCGGCTAACTAGTCGTAGTTTCATGGGTAACCCAGACTCTACAAGAATATTATATGATACTTCCCTCCTAACTGAACCAAGGGCTTTCTGCTACAACTGATAATTACATCTAACAAATTCAGTGTTGGCAATTTTCAACACACAAATGTTAGCTATCATACATTTATATATATATTCCATAATTTTCCCACCTACACTCACTTACTTCAATCTGTACAGTGACTGGTTACAGGTTGCGGAATGATGATTCATATAATGCCAGCGTCTGCAGTGCCACATTTACCATGCAGGCTGACATTAATGGCACTTAAAATGTCCAGGTACAGATTATAACAGCCTGAAACTTATAAAAGGGTCATTCTTATTTACAACACAGCATAATGTGTGGTGGTTGGGGGGGGGGGGGNTCCAACTCTACCAAAAGACAAAACTTCAGGAATCTGAAAAATACCAGAGCTCACGTTCTTGTGGTTTGGAGCCCATACTAAGCTATAGGTTTCCTGTCACCCATCTCTCTAATGACCATTCTGTCACTGCACTTAACAGACTTTACCCTGTGGGTACCTACACCTCTAAAACGGATTCTGCACCCTTGCCCAGGTGGCAGAGGTGAGACAGGTTATTACAGATCACACCTGGAGGCACAAGACAACAGCAACCAACAGAACAACATGGCTGCTACACGTCTCTCTATTTGCTACATGAGTTGCTTCACTGTCAGTTCTTGCTGAGGATATGAACTCACGTCTCAACCACAGGGCCCTTGTTCTTGATCCAGAAACGGGAGCCATCTTTGTGGTCACTCAGTGTGCCACGTGTGAAGCTCTGAATGTAATGCTCCAGCATCTTCCTCTCCAAGTCATTCATAGCATGATCCTGCAACAGATGGCATCCTCAAATACCAGTCTTTTCTTCAATAGTTCTGTGAAGATTGTAAAATAAAATTGCAAACCATATAAAATATATGTGGGCTGTAATACCATCTAAACAATGCGTTCAGCCACATGAAATAGAGCATGCAGATACGAAGGGGGACCCAAAAATAACCGGAAACGACCTGTTGCGCGCGCATGCTTTGTAGTTACGAGTTGTGCTGCTAGGTGTTGTTAGCTGGGGGTCTCCCGCGACTATTAGTGAGCTGGCGTCAGTCTGAGTTAAGTGGTTTGTCTGTGGTGCTCTGTTGTGTGCGTTCCTGTTTCAACCCTTTGGCAATTAGTGAGATGGCCGACCAGAAGGAACAAAGAGTGTGCGTGAAATTTTGCTTTCTGTTAGGGAAAACTGCACTTCACTCTTCAAGTTGCGGCAAACATTCACGCGGTTTTCTCTTTGGTCATCTCCGAGCAAGCGAGGAACAAATTTTGCAGACACCCATCTCATGTGCAAACCCTCGGTTAAAATTCGCTGGACCGTGCTCCATGAGATGTTTGTTTCCTCAGAAAGTTGGTCAATGGTCTTTCGACGATCTTCATCAATTTCACTCACACTCTTTGTTCCTTCTGGTCGGCCATCTCACTAATCGCCAAAGGGCTGAAACAGGAACGCACACAACAGAGCACCATAGACAAACCACTTAACTCAGACTGACGCCAGCTCAATAACAGTCGCGGGAAACCCCCAGCTAACACCACCTAGCAGCACAACTCGTAACTACACAGCAATTTGTACTACTACAATTTGGGAACAATGATAACAGATCAAATCTATCTTGAAAAAGCGAGATTTAATGGCCGTGGTGATTCGTTGCGCTGACCATGCGACACCCTCTATCTGCTAAAGTTGGCACTAACTTCACCGACAAGAGGCGGTTGCTTGGTCGGTACAGTCTACTTGTGGACTGAAACCAGAGTTTTTTTTTTACAAATCGAAACCTGATTCAGGAGGAAATTAAAGAGGAGATTAACTCTGGTAATGCTTGCTACCATTTAGTCCAGAACAATCTGTCTTCTTGTCTGCTGTCTAAAAACATTAAAATTAGAATATACAAAACTATAATTTTATCAATGATTCTGTATGGGTGTGAAACTTGAGGGTATCTGAGAGTAGTGCTGAAGAGAATATTTGGACCGAAGAGAGATGAAGTGACAGGAGATTGGAGGAAACTGCATAATGAGGCACTTCATAACTTGTATTCTCTTCTCCAAGTATAATTAGAATGATAAAGTTACAGAGGATGAGAGGACCAGGGCATGTTAGAAAACAAAGATGTAGCTGGGTGGACAATATTAAAATGGATCTTAGAGAAACAGCATGGGATGGGATGGACTGACCTGGCTCAGGATACGGACCAGTGTAGGGCTCTCATGAACATGGTAATGAACCTTCGGGTTCCATAAAATGTTGGAAAGTTCTTGAGTAGCCGCACAATTGGTGGCTTCTCAAGAAGGGCTCAGCTCTGTAAATGATCATTATTGTGGCTATATTGTGTCAATGATAGGAGGAATAATGAGTGTGGAGCAATTCATGTAATGAGAACTGGCAGGGGGAATCAAAGCCTGCCTCAGTCCCGCTTTATCCATCACAAATCCCAAATGAACTGATCTGGGAATGAACTCATACCACCACACAATGTGAAGCCAGTAACAGCATGAGGTATGGCATGCGTGGTAAAATTAGAGTTCTGTATATTTTATTCTACATGTTTTCATGTAGCAACAGATAAACAGAAGAGTCTGAATTAAATGCCAGCATGAATTTCTGACTTGAGACTGCTCTTACTTTCTTTGTAAATGCAACCTGGTATCCAGCACTGCTTTGTTACTGTTTGTTCCCAGATGTTTGGGCTTTGCCAGATTTTCAAGGGATCTGTTAGCTGTCTTTATGTTATGGTTTTGTTCTAGATTCTGGTGATGAGACATCAAGTTAGTTCCTCTGCCTTTGCTTCTACATTATCCTCCTTACCATAATTTAAACATAGCTTTATTTCATTTACGGTCCAAGTCAACAAGTTCTCGTAATCAAGTACATGAGACTTGGGAAGTTAAAATGTATATTAACACCAATTTGTAAAAAGACAGCCCACTGAGACAAACAATTATTCACTTACTTCTCCTAATTTCCTTAGGATAAAATGGTTGGAGCACCAAGATGACACTCACGTGGAAGTGATTCCCTGGTTAAGAATGCATGGAATTATATTCTCAAATCTTCTTTACACTATTAGGCATGGCACAGATACCTATATCTTTAGCTACAGGAAGGGAGTGTTCAGGGTACCAATATTTTTTATCTCCGTTTTCAGATCAATGTCATCCTTGGCTTTCAGTAGAAACTACTAGCTCTGCTGTTATTTCTATTTCACACTACAGACTACATCAAGAGCCAATTCATTTCCAAATCTTGCCAGTGTTGCACTGCCTTTTACCTTCGCTTTAGCCAAATCTTGCACAACAAGCGCCAGAAGTCTGGAACAGTCCCCTCGTGTGATTCGGAATCTGCAACTCATGCAGTCAACATCCTTCTGCGTAACATCTGGGTCACTCCCTGTCTCAACTGACGCGAGTCGTATCTGCAAAGCACATTTTGTTTTCATGTGATATATATTTGCAAATTCTTAAACTGAAATTTAATTTTATAAAGTGTCATGTGACATGCCTATACAAAAACAGTTATAAACTAAAATACACACACTTCATTAATATTTACAATTTCTCTTCAAAAGTCTACTGATTACTACTACCCACAATAAGATTTATATCTTCCTGACACCAACCTCAAGATATTACTATAGCACATACAATCACACACAGTAGAAATGTGAACTGTATCATGTACGACTTTGGCTTTCATGATATACCAAGGATGTTGAAGCTCTGTCAATGTCTCAGCAAATGCTGCAGTTGCCATCTCCAGGGAGGTTTTGCAAACTCTTCTATAGAGCTGGCAATTGGCAGTGGGTTGGAGGTAAAGCCATGAATGGATGAAACTAATGAGTGGGTTGCCATCCTAAGCAGTGTATTCCAAAACCGAAGTCATACATTACACTACAGCCATAACCTAAGGACAAGAATACTGTATCCACTGAGTTCTCCTTCGCGTGTCTTTTTCTTACTTCCTGTAATGAACAGCCAGCTTATAGCACGTGTCAGGCATTGCCACATTTTAGAAACAGGAGAAATCTGCACAGTAATCTAGTTGGCATAATACCACAGCATTCTGATTACCCAAGGAAAACATGGCTGCTGGCCCTCACTACGACTACACTGCCAGTAAACAAGCTGTCTTGCCCTGTGATGAAGTGGCACTCAGTGTGTTCCTACTGCAGAACGTGTACCTCATATGTGGGAACTCCATCCTCCACAGTCTTGAACACCCGACTATTGTAGGCCTCCATGCTCTGGTGTTTCAGGAACTGTGTCACCAGGTTGGCATCCTCCAGGGTGCAGTTACTAGAGAAGTATGTTGTTGTACCCTGTGTCATGAAGCTCCACAATCAGAACAGGACAACCATAACATAAAGTAAACAGGAAACTGACTACATCTCTAGACATGAACATGTGACAGTGAGTTTTCAATTATGTAATTAAGCATCAAAAACTACAAGCAATTATCCTACAAAGATCAAGTTTGGTCCCCCCCTCACCAGTATTCTTAAAAATGCATTTTTCACAAGTTTTAGTATTTTAAAAATGTAATGAAATGTTCAAGTACTCCTAACATTGAATGGTGTTGTGCTAGAGTCTGCTATCTTAGCTAGCTTTGAGTGTAATAATAAGTAACACAAATGCTTATGGCTTAACACACCCAAAGAAGTCTACAAAGCGGGTAGTGGGACTGAACAGTCTGAGTGAGTGCCTGACACTTAGGTTATTTCATGATGCTGTTTTCAACTGGAGAACTCATAATACACAGATGGTGTGGAACGAAGAGGTGACAGACGATGATGGCCTTATGCAGAGGAGCAGGAAGACACTGGCCTCTCGACCTGGGTCACACCTTGTCATGGAATCCAAGACACTTCACGCCCTCCTTCAGCAAATAGATGGCATCCTTGCAACGGTCCCACAGAGACTGCATAACTTTGGGTTCCCTGTGATACGCCTCACTGCATTTGATGACCACTTCAAACTTGGCAGCTGGTAGATTTGGGACAAACTTGCTGTCACCAAAACCCTTGTAGTTCCCGGCATTGGTGAAGATACCTGATGTGTATACCAGGAGTGCCTATAACATATAAAGATTGTGTTATCAAAATTTCCACGTTTTCTTAACCCGTTGCCGTGGTTCGTCGTGTATGTTTCGTCAGGGATTTAAATCGTCTGGGGGGGTTCGACGTGTATGTTTCGTCCAGCTGCACACGTATGTTATAACGCCCATAATAATTGATGGTTTTGCTGTAGATTGTTAGATTTTTCACTGGCCTGTTGTCAGGAGGACTGTATTTAATGACACACGCGTTTAAGAGCGCTAAGTCGTCGTTACATATGCCTGTCTTGCAGCAACGTTCCTGTGGCTATTGCGAGCTGTTTCTGTTATGAATGATGTGTTTTCTTTGCTCCGAAGCTATAAACACCAGAGACTGATATGTGCTGGTGTTTATAATATCATATT